ACCAGTCGGCCATTTTGAATGTTATCTGAAAAACAAAATTATTTGCATCAAGGTCGCATAATGTCTAATGTATATATCAAGTTTGAACAAAATCCATCTGTAAACAGCCGAGAAATGCTTGATTTTTATGATTTTTTAGAACAAAAATGGCCGCCATTCGGCCATCTTGAATCAGATCGTAAAACAAAATGATGTTCATCAAGGTCCTATAAAGTCCAATGTATATACAAGGTTTGAACAAAATCCATCTGTAAACAGCCGGGAAATGCTTGATTTTGATGATTTTTAGCAAAAAAATGGCCGCCATTCGGCCATCTTTAATCAGATCGTGAAACAAATTGACGTGCATATGTATAATAATATGTATGATGTATGTGTGAAGTTTGATTGTGATTGGTCCAGGCATTTCTAAGATACAGGTTCGGACGCACGCACAGACGCACACACGCACGGACTGCGTCCGAACGGGGACTAAAAATATGCAAAAATATGCAAAATATTGTCAGGCATTCAAAGACTTGGCTAAACTGAAATAACATCAAGATGATCCTCTGCATTACAGATATTCTGCAAAATTGAGGAATTGGGTAAAATAAAAAGGAAATAAAGTAACTTACTGGTAAACATGAAACCAAGAACTCGTATCTCAAGTAATTATCTGACTGAAGTTTGTACACCATGGACATCAATGGACCATTCGGCGCGAGAAACATCCTGAGAGAAAAGAAGTCCAAGGCTTGTGCTTGTTTGTGTAATGTCTTCAGACCCCATCCTGGTGAGTTATTAAAACCAAATATGCTCTCAAGAAGCAATGGAAATATTGTGTGTAGGTCCTGGAGAAACAAACAAAAATGTGCTCAGTCAAATACTGAATGATATTGTCAGATTTTGCACAGTACAGTCCGCGTCTGTGAGGTGGCGAATACAATATGAATATGTCCATCATCTGATGATATAAACAACAGATCTTAATTCACATCACCAGATGTTGGTTCACTGTCCGCATCGGAAAATTTGAGATGATCTAATGACATACTTGGATAACCCACAACATAACGCAACATTCTATTTATTTCATAGTGGTCATTTTCTTTGCCCAATAAGAAAATTAGGCCAGATTTTCTGACACAAGAATTTCAAAAAAAAGGCCGTTACTGTGTTTTAATTGCATATAATAACAGCAAAACTGAAATACTGTACCCTTGTACTGGATTCGTTTATAATGATCGTAAACTCCTCACATCTTTGCTTCAGTGCTTTACTCAGTGCTAACTGGAACCGAGACTGAAACAAACAGGACACACGTATTGTTAACTACTAGTATTTGAAAGCTACATGTCTAGCGGTACAGTTGTACAAAATGTGTAAGATCCTAATCCACAATACCGGTGCATCCGATCCGATGGGAGTAAAAGCCGGGTAACTTCAGTCAATGGTGGCGTTTATTCAAATTATTGACGTCCACATTGTTTACAAATGTCTGATGTATTTTTAAACGCTTTCCTATGAATAAAACCAGGTATTTGAAAACCACGATTTAGCTTGACATTGCGTACGCCCACAGAAGTGCCAACAAGTGCAATACTCCAATTTAAGTTTTAAAAAATTATCCAAACTTACCGAAATTGACAGATTGCGATCCGTAATCGCCGCCATTTTGATTGTCAATTAGTTTGTTGTATATTTACTCAACTGTTTTTACCTTCGATTTGTTTTACAGTCATCTAATTAAAACACATTGCAGTCTTTTCATTGAAGTAAATGATCGGATTTAATAAACAATAGTCAAAATAGTCACTATTCATACTACAGTGTTCGAAACGGTGAGCCGGTATATCACATGACCATCACCTGACCTCAAATGACCTACCTGGTTGCACAATCAAAACAAACGGTTGTGATTGGTCGCCCAGTGGGAGTTGTCGGGATACGTATGATGCAATGTACTGCAAAACACTATCCTGAACTGAAATTGTGCGTCAGCTACTTTCAGGCGAAAATTGCGACTACTTTTGAAATATTTAAATATTCGGGTTTTATTAAAACGCGCTGACTAGTAGAGAACTCTTACTTTTATTGAATTGCTTAAAACAGTTAAAGCAGAAACATATCGAAAATGCAGAACAGCAACGGTACGCCAAACGGGAGCGCTGTCCGTAAACGAAACTCATGGAAAAGTTCCGGTCAAGGGGACAGGGAATTTATTGACGAGAGTCGATTAAGTAAACGTCTGTCGTATTTACTGCGGTACGGTGCCGAGAAGGAAGGACTGGCTGTTAGCGACAAAGGTAAACACACTTTGACACATTGATTTTTATAATACTGTCAAACAAACATTTATCTATCATGTTGAAATGAACTTGGTTAGAATACAATTGTATTGTATATAGTTACTTATATTATACGCTCACTTGGTTTCTGTCTCCGTACATATTTCTCTGACATGATGTAATTGTGTTTTTCTGATTTACAAAGCGATGGCCATAAAACAATGAAAGGCATTGGAATTTAACCAACAAATGCAAACAATCTTTTCGTATATCAATATACACATTAGTATGCCTCTTTATCATTTCATTTTTACTTTTTAGTTCGAATGAATATAATTTCATAATTGTTTACTGTCTTGTCCTCTTTTTTTTTTAATTTGTAATAAGGACGAAAAAAATGAATTTGGTAATATTGTTGTTGACCAAATCGGAAAATGCTTTATCATGAGGAACCAACGACGTCGTCATGTTCGCAGGAAACAAGGCAATATTTTCAAGTTCGATGAAAATTGTTGTCGTAGGTACTAAGACAATCGGAGGCCATGCGTAATAGCGGATAATGATATTGTTTCATCCAACGGCAACTCAGACGTGTGCCGATAAAACATTAATATTAAAAATTACTTTTACTCGTCCATAGTGCATCTTTAAAGAGCGGTGGTCGTCGCGGTGCGCATGTGCGACATTTGTGTTGATAAACATTGATTTTCCCACAATCCAATGCGCTATTCTCATGGAAATCACAACTTTGATGTTTGACCTGGGCGCGACTTGCCCTAATTACCACCGGTGACTCTTTCGATACCATTAAAGCTCACGTCTCATTTTGTAGTCGTTGATCTGCGCAGTTTGCACTCGTTTATCTGAACAGTCAAAGTCGCCATCTTTGTTTATATGAGAACCATATATCTCGCGCATGCGTGGCGCGACGATTACCTTCCTTTAAATGTGGTAAACATTATGCTAATCTATTTTGTGAAATGAGACAGGGTTTGAAAAATTCGCTCAAATGGTTTACGACTGTTTTTCTACAGGATTTATTGATCTAAAGATGCTTCTTGGATTGACAATTATGCAATCTTATTCTGAAGAAGAAATCATTAATGAGATTCGGGTGTCTAGATCCACCAGAGGTCACAAGCGTTTTGAATTCAAACGAGAGTATGGCGGGCAAGTTTTTGTGAGGGCCCTTTTCGGGCGAAAAATGGAAAGGGTGTGTAAAGTTATATCAAAATATATTTGTTTACATCAGTAGACGTATCAACTTATCAAATCATTCGTGGTTTAAATCTAAAATCTCGGTTTTGTCACAGTCACAGATGATCGTCAGTCACGCTACTGCGCCCTCTAGGTGAAGTGTCAATATGCTACTGTTTTTATAAAAATGTTATCAATATTGGATAAGTGCCTTCTATGTCCAATATATTTATGCTCTTGTTTTTTTTATTTACAGTCAATTTCACGCCATTGTTTTTGTTCGTATTTTTTATTTGTTATTTATTTTCCGTAAATTTACCTGCGATTATACCTTTGATTGTACAATTTTCATTGTGTGTATGTTTCTGATTTCAGAATCCATATCACAGAGACAGCAAAGTGTACAGACTACTCGAATTATGTTTAGTGTATATTTGCGATCACGTGGACCACTTTGATTTACAAGATTTTCCTGACGAGTTTTTACAGAGGTTGGTATACCTATATTGAGTAATATAATATAACAGTGACTGTCCTTTTATAAACCATGGTGTTTTGTTAACCATACCATCATTTTTAACAGTGCATATGACTCTCCGGTGATTCCATTATTCGACTCAATATCAAA